CAAAAAATCTGCATGGTCCATTCATCTTAAAAACAACATCTATATTGTTTTGTTGCTTTTAATCTATAAAAGACTCCACAGCCACACATTCTCTTACTGAATTGTGATTTGGCTAATAAAATGATCAAACGTGACACTAATATTATCTAATCTTTGCCACATCCGTCTCAAGTGTAACTGATCCATAATGTGACTGTGATGGATGCTCGGGCCCAGACCTGATCAGAGCCAGTGCCTCAGACTGTGAGCCATCAGGGCTTTCCCATCCCTCTCATTTCATTAGGAATCACTCAGCACTTTAGAGCAACATTCAATTACGCTCCTGTGGTAATTAAATGTTCCTCAAATGAGTTCAGTTAAATCATCTGCGTTTTGGCTTCACTTGGCTTTTTACTGTCAAGAGCTCAAATGAACATTAAGTGCTCCATCCAGTGGGAGAGCACCATCACACTGCCATGACATTTAGCCATCAAATAAAGACAGATATTATCACGACATAGATAGGACAGGGATTTATATGCACAAAGGAACTAAAACAGATTCAAATGCAATGTTAACACAAGTTAATGTCCACCCATCTCTGTATTTAGAAACAGTACAAAAGTTAATCTTAAAAGTGCACTATTTAACTTTTCTAGTGGAGGGTCTGCCACCTGTTTCCATGGAGATCTTATTGCTTTGTCTGATGTTCCACAATATGGCATTAAACTTATCTTCATATAAACACCAACAGGACATTACAGGCCAGATATGTGGAGAGGCAAGCCAGCTCCTGTTAAAAAAGTTAGTTTTACAAGGCATTTTAGCAATAATAACAATGTTAAGTTTAATTCCATACTGTGGAACATTAAAGGTGAAGCAATAATATCTCTGTGGAAACAAGCGGGTGATAGATGCTCCACCAAAGTTAAATGGTGCATCTTTGGCTTACTCCTAATATCAATGAATATGTTGTACACAGATTATTGATTCTTTATGCTTCAAATGTACACATGTGAGTACTTTAAACTTCTTGTATATTGTTTATTAAAAGATCCACCTCCTAACTACTACGCACAGACAAACATAATATATGTAATAATTATGTGTTGGTGAAATAACTGTAAATCATTTAATGACCCTACAAGGCAAGAGTTATTTTTAAAAGGGGATTCATCAATATTCTCCAGGGGTACATGAAGAAAGGTCAGAAAATCTCTCATTAGGCTATGAGCATGCGCACGCCATGCACATGTACATTAGTGTTCCAATGTGCATATTGCAGAACTGGGCTTTTTGTTTGTGGGAGGTGTTCTGTTGAGTGACTAGACTTCACTGACTCATTGTGTGCAGGACTGTATAAATACTGTAAATACTAAGACATAAAGAACTATTTTTGATGAATTGTGTTTTTGTCTTGTGTAATATTGAAAAGTACAAACTTCAAGTTGGCTCAAGATTCCACATTTGGAGTTTCAACAAAACATAAAAAACACAATTACTCTTCCAGTATTATATAGCTTTTAGGGCATTTATCCTGTTATTCTGATGAATGTATTCACACTGGGAGAAATAAACAGCATTGAGTAGGTTCAATGAGGATGTCCTCATAATATATCTGAACAGTAGTTCCACACTCCATATTAACCTTACAAGTGACAGTAAACCAATACATTATGATCATGTGAATGTAATTATGGCTAATATGCAAGCCATCCTGCCAACACTTATAGCAATATTGACCAGTCCTCCTCAATTCATTTACATGTTGCAAATTAGAGGCCATGGGATTAATTAGTGTCATTATTAAAAGTCAAATGAGAGTGACTAATACAACACTGTGCCAACATGTGTGGCCTGGCTCTACAATTCTATATAATAATAATAGTTATGATGGTGCTGCCAAGCCACAGAATGACCCTCACATAGACACTCACAAATATTTCTCATCTGTGTCAAAGAGGACATCCCAAACGCAGGTTTGCTCTGTATGTCACCCTGTTTCATCCCCTGTGCCCTCGGTCCATCCCCTGGAGCCTCTCCCTCCTTCAGGATTAAACTCATGACAAGGCTAGGCCACATTCTGTGGAAAGGGTGACAATTGCAATGACACATTTGTTCAAGACATTTATCCTTGGGTACAGTTAATGGTTTGCCACTATTTTGCTGTATATTATTTTCTATAAAATATTACTATGAAAAATACAGAGACATGGCATAGCCATAGAATACAAACCTGGAATGCGAATAGTGTGATTACACAGTCTTATCATACAATGTCTGGTTGCAACTGAACCTTACGCACCCTCTCACTATTGTGCACTCATAATCTAACAGATGCTACACAAACAACTGTGTGACCTTTGACCTTTACACTCAACAACTTCATTTGACTTCTTGGACCCAAACCAGTTTGTGAAAGTGTGTGTCATTTAGCAAACTGACAATGTTCTGAAATCCATATGTGACATAAACCCATTGTTCTATGCTGCTCATATTTGTCAATGGAGACCACCTCACAGTCCCAGCATCATGTGGCGTGATAACTTGTCTTCTGTGCACACAGTCCTCTCCACATGTGTATCTCTCACCTCTCCTAACCATCAATAACTTCAGAGGCACAAAAGCAGCTAAATTAGGTCCACAAATGACTAATGAGCTCTGGCATTGTTTGTGTATTAGTCTCTCTCTGCTGTGGCTGGACCCCAGGGAATGGCCCATACTGTGCTTTGCTCAAGCCCAAACATAGGACTGAAATATGTTTAAATAATGAAATAGGTTGAATCTTGACTGATTTTCTAAAAGTTTTGAACTAGCCACTTTAGGCATGACTATAGACTGTATAAAGAAGTGGACTAAAGGAGTGTGGCATCATCCATAGTGTTCAGCTCCAGTCAAATGAAGCTCACAATGCTAACTGTTATAGGGACAAATTTGGAGCCAGTTCCATATTAGGAATGCAAATTTATTTATAGACAAAATAGCTACATAAAAACCTCAAGAACATTTTAAGACAAAACTGACGAGGCTTGGTGTAGCAGTTACAAAGAGAGGAGTTAAAATATTCCAAAGTAAAATCAATTGGAGCCAGGGTCAGAAGGAGCTGGAAGCACCTCCATGAACACTTCTTATTTGGATTGTAACTGCTAACAGGTCAGCTATGTCCATTTATATATGCAGTCTATGGGCATGGCACATCAACCCAAACTTGGATTTTACTTACTGTTTCATTCATGCACCATCTTTATGATAAACAATATACCTGATATTCACATCTTACACATCTTCAAAACAACACACACGATATTATCAATATTTCACGAATCTGCCAGCTCCAGAGGTAATCTTCAGCAGACTCAGACATACATAAATGCTTTTTTCCATCTGAATAAATTTCTGAATTTATATTCTTCCAGAGTGTCTAAAAGACAGACACAGCCGGACTGAACTATCATTAAATGTCCTAAAAATACACCACTGCGAAGATGAGATCATCCGAATAGCAGACATATGATTATAGGATATTCACTGGAAAGTAACAGTTATTTGTCAGCACCATGTCAACAAGAAGCCCTTTGGACAGGGGTCTGATGTCAGTGGTCCTTAACTAAATTTATGGACCAGGAACATCAGTTTTATTTAGGTAAACTTAAGTAAACAGAAACATTAAAATACAACTGCATTATTGATAGTTGTGGCTTTAGTAATAGTAGGAACATTAACAGTAAAAGTCCCAGTAACAGTATAGTGTGGAAAACAGAGAGAAAATAGTACATCACAGTGCAGTAATATACTGAAACACAAACAGTAAGACTAGAGTACTGAGTTGTGTAATATTGTTATAATAATATTTTCCCAATTTAGTCTCAAATATTGTGGAATAATTTTGTGTCTAAAAGTTAATCACACTTGATGTATGTTATAAGGTCTATTCTATGTGTGTGAAACAACAAAAGATTTACCTTTAAAAACAAACATTACTGCAGAGATGACTGTTGCCCTGAGTCAATGAAAGTACAGACCTCTGAACTGGGCTAAAGTGCAATGTACTGCAATGCTTTATATGGCCCTGCTCAGATAATAAGACTTTATGGCACTTTGACATCATATCGTTTTGGATGGAACACTGGGTTCACTTGACCTTACTATAGGGTATTTTCTGCACCAAATGATACCTCGTTAACTTAAACACTGCCGCAGATTTTTTAAGGACAGTTGTAAAATGAAGCTTGGCTCTTTGTTTAAATATAGGCTAACAACTGACCAGTAACTTCCAGCAATGTTGCTTTGCAATCTTTGTCCAAAAGGTGTCAGTATTGAGTTTCATACTGGTGCGCATGTTTGAGCATGTCGCTTCCGCACAATAGGCTACACATAATTTGTTGATGATTTGATTAATATTGCGTACATTTGAATTAATATCAATCAAAGTGCAATAATTAAAAGCAACAGAAGTAAGAGATGTATATGATGTATATATTTCATAAATATGCATACATTTGCAGTAGCCTAAAAGTTGTAATAAGTGCGTATTTGCATTTGTTTGAAATAATAGATTTTAGTATCAAAACGTCTGCCTTTGAAAAGGGACAATTGAATACCGTACATTCAAAATAAAAAGTTATCTACTCTCTTCCTCCCTAATTTCCATTTTTATATTTTTAAAGACTGCAACGTAACTATATCTGTAATAACATAAGTTGCTTAAGAAATAGATGAGAAACCTTTCCTTTCAAACCGTTATTAGTTGCAGTTTCTGTTTCTTCATCTGCAGCAAGGCAGCCAGACTCATTGAGTTTCATACGCACAAATTACATAAATGATTGTAGAAATTAAAAAAGAAAATGAAGGAAAGCGCAGTCAAAAAGTGAAGCAGTATCTCAGCTGACAGTCAGCTGACAGCCTCTGAGAGTTGAGAAAAGTTTGCCTTCTCTACACTATAATATGGTAATTAGCTCCGAGCCTGCGACCCTATTGGCTCTTCGTCCGAGTCAATTTCCCACTTCCATCCTGACGTCAGGGCAGCTACAATGCTCTTAAACTCATCTGCTGTGTGATCCCTCGAAAAAATCGCCCCAGTACAGAGCAGCTCATACTACGGCACTCACTGCCTTTACTTTCGGCTTCTTTCGCCCTATCTTCGCGCGCGCCACGCACCCATGAAGAGACGTCAAGTGTTACATGTTTGAAATCCAAAACCGCCGACTTTCACATGCTGAAAAAGGACTCCGCTGCTCGCGCGCGCGGCACCGCTGTGTCTGTGCACTAGACTGCAAAGACAAACTCTTGGTGGTTGCGCAGGGGAACGCAGAACAGCTCGCTTTTCTTTTTAAAAAAAGATATAAGACTTAAAAAGCCAAACTGGCTCACGTCGTTCCCAACCAGACCAGTTTGACAGCTGCTCTTCAGCCCGGTTGGAGGACTGTCAGCAGCAAGAGGATGGCATCAGAACTGGCAATGAGCAACTCCGACCTGCCCACCAGTCCCTTGGCCATGGAATATGTTAATGACTTCGATCTGATGAAGTTTGAAGTGAAAAAGGAGCCGGTGGAGCCCGATCGCAACATCAGCCAGTGCAGTCGCCTTATCGCCGGGGGATCATTGTCTTCCACCCCGATGAGCACGCCTTGCAGTTCGGTGCCCCCCTCTCCAAGCTTCTCTGCGCCCAGTCCGGGCTCAGGGAGCGAGCAGAAGACGCACATAGAGGACTTCTACTGGATGTCCGGTTATCAACAGCAGCTAAACCCAGAGGCACTGGGCTTCAGCCCCGAGGACGCAGTTGAGGCTCTCATCAACAGCAGTCACCAACTCCAGTCTTTCGATGGCTATGCCAGGGGCCAGCAGTTCCCCGGATCGGCCGGTGCAGGGGGCGCCATGGCCGGTGAGGAGATGGGCTCTGCCGCGGCAGTCGTCTCTGCAGTGATCGCCGCGGCGGCTGCACAAAACGGTGCACAACATCACCATCATCATCACCACCACCATGCCGGTGCTCACCACCAGCAGCCCGGTGTACAGTCCAGCAGTGCCTCGGCTCCGGGACACACGCACATGCGCATCGATGACCGCTTCTCCGATGAGCAACTTGTCACCATGTCCGTGCGCGAACTTAACCGGCAGCTACGAGGGGTCGCCAAAGAAGAAGTGATTAGACTGAAACAGAAGAGAAGAACCCTAAAAAACAGGGGCTACGCGCAATCCTGCCGCTTCAAGCGCGTGCAGCAGCGGCACGTCCTGGAGGGAGAGAAGACCCAGCTCTTGCAGCAAGTGGAGCACCTCAAACAAGAGATCTCCAGGCTGGTCCGGGAGAGGGACGCGTATAAGGAGAAGTACGAAAAGCTCATCAGCACCGGCTTCCGAGAAAACGGCTCGAGCAGTGACAACAATCCCTCGTCCCCGGAGTTTTTCATGTGAGTCCCCCTCTCCGCAAAGAATAAGTTAGAGAGGCCGCTAAAAGTTTTCTTAAGACTTATTTTTGATTTGGCTCATATGCCCACTAGACCAAGAACTTATTCGACAACTTTCTGACTTTTCTTTTATACTTACGCGGCTGATTTAGGCACATCTTTTTATTTGTGAAAAAGTTATTTGACAATTTTGTCCTATATCGAATTATAAGTGAGGCTGTCCAGACATATGGCAGTTCATGCACTTACAATATTTTACTCAACAGCATTTTTGAAAGTTGATCCAACTTTATTGCACAGTGTGCCGGTGTGCACCCAGTACACAGGACACGCTGTCAAGTTCATCAACTCTCATCATTTCCGTTTGAGTTCAGTCTGTCCAGCAGCATCCATCAAGATAAGTTTTAAAAAACCTTTTCTTTCCTTTTTGTCTGACAATCTGTGGAGGACCTGCCGTCACCCCATCTCATATGTTTGCTTGTTTTTTTTGTTTTTTGTTTTTTTTTTTTTTTTTTTTTTTTTCTTTTTCTTTTTTGTGTTGCGCCGCAAAAGACTGAAATGACTGTGACAGTGCGGACTGTGCCATGCATGCTGGACATGTATGGTTCCTTTTGTGCTTGAAGATGTCCTTTTTTTCGGATGACTCCAGCATGATATTCATTCTTCATTTATGGCGCTTCACTTTTTTGGGGCATTGTCAAAAAAGTGACAGGACTTTCCTCACCCATGCGATGAACTCGGGCCATTTCTGCTGTGTTGAAGTGCGAGCCTCGGCTCACGGGGTGCAAAGGGCGCCCTGTGCGCGTGTTCGAGTACAAGACTGCACCGAAAGACACACAAACCCCTTACAGCCTTTGTCATTCATACATACCAGTGTTCATTGGACTTATGAATATTTTGAATTATAATTTAAGTTATATACATGTATACAGATTGAAGCCTGCGCTCAAGTGATCAGAAAAAGAGAAAGTGTATTTTTATATTAGTTTAGAAAATTGGCGAGGTTCCAGTTATTACAAAGAGTATAGTGTTGTATGGTGCGTACACAGCGCTTTGCTGCATGTGCTTTTAGACACAAGTGTGAGCGTCTCATTGTGGTATCGAAAACAAAATAGTTTTAAGAAAAACTAAATTTCGTAGATACGGCCTGGGTAAAATGCCATGCTTTGGAACATGACTATTCTGATTAAAATGAGCTGAAATGCACTAAAGTCGCCTGGAATACCGAGGAAACACTTTAGACGAGGTTTGCCATTGTGTTGCGTATGACGCGTAACATTTTCATACTTTTATGTTATTGAATTTAAAGAAAAGCTGTCCTGAGCAAAGTTGATATTTGCAAAGCAATAATTATCTATTTAAATAATGTCTGGACATTGTTTGGCTCTTCGGGGATTGAAACCCTGCATGTACAAAATGAGGAACTACTATCCTTCTTAAATATTGAAAATATGATAATGAATCGTCATCTTATATAATATATATTCTATATTTTGCTGTGCAAAATTATTTCATTCACTAACCATATGTGATGTTTATATGTGCTCGTTTTTCATTTCATACAATTAAATGATATGCAATAAATGTATGTAACTGTCTTCAATCAGTTTCGCACCTTTTTTGACGTATTAATCATTAACGTCAAAAGGACCTGGAGGGGCAGTCGGACATTTCTGCTTAAAAGGATTTTTAGTTTTTAATTTATACTACCTCAAATTTCATGTTACAAAATAATATCCCCAGGGGGTGACCCTAAATTTAAATTTAAATGTAAGTTAACTACACCATGCGTCTTGAGCCACAGGACCATTGCAGGAGCAGAGGTTTGAGTGCGATGGATCAAATCGCAATGCTCTCAATTAATGATTCACCACGTTTGAGTTTTGTTCTCACAATGCCGCTGATTGGACTTCTGTCATATACTCATTGTGTGTATATTTCACATGTTTGTATACATTTGGAGGTGAGGCATCTTATGAGGACAACCTCACGTTTTTACATCACTTGAAATATTGCACACTGACTAAAAAGTTATTTTTTTCAGAAGAGGTGAAATCTTCTCTCATTTACACATTAGACATTTCATTTAGCTGCTCTCTTCTCTGGTTATGTCATACCTTTTATACTCTTCATGTCACCAGAGTTTATAATCATGTACAGAAATGTTACACAGAGACACTGCATCAGAAAGTGTTTTGTGTTGGAAACTTAACAGAACAACTTTCCAATAGTTGTACGTTTTGGGTCAAGAAATGCATTTGGGGCATTCTCAATGAAACAGGAAGAAAAGAAGAATTACAACAGCTCTAGAGGACACTTACAAGTTAAATTTTCCAGTCTGATGGTTGAGGCTGCTCATTTAGTGTGTATGTGAGCGGAGGACACACAGGATGGTGACAATCTGATAAGAAAAAGTGACACATTTGGGCCAACGGTTCTATATGTTTTAAAGATACACATTATTGACAGTACACATGCAGAAGTGGTCCAGCCCTCTTATCTGGGATGCCTGGAGATGTGTGATCTTGCAGAGTGAACGCTGAAGTGAGCGGCTGAGACAATGGAGGGGCTCTAGCTGAATTAAATGATTTTGCAGATGATTAATAGTGGTGTGGCCCGGTGCTCCTGCGATGTAGAGATGATGAATCGTGAGTGCGGTCCCATGCAGCTGTGCCAGAGCCGGTCTAAGCGTGCACAGTCCAGGCAATTTACAGCCAAGACGCTCCCCTTCTGCCTCAATTTATTTAATTACATCTATTTGAGCCTGCCATTAGCACCGCTGTGTTTTTGGCTTTAACTGAATTTATTTTGTCCTGGGGAGAATTCGAAGGTTTCTGTAAAAGATATATATTTTTGTTACATTCTTAAACTTCGCTGTAGTCTAATTTAAGTAAACAAGTCAAGATGAATAAAGAAATACAGAGTCAATGCCGGAAGAAAAAGTAATTTGGATTTTTATGAGGGCATGAGTTATTCTTTAGCCCCATTCACGAGGATAATTTTCTCTATTGTTTCCACACAACATGTACAGTTTCAAAGCTTTACATTGTCAAAAAGATTAGAAGATTTAGTTTTTAGGGTGTCTTAATATTTCCTTCTTAAGATTTTCCAGTTATTTTAGATAGCACAAGTTCAGACATTCTCTACTTCTTTTTGTATGTATGCGAGTATGTGCAAAGAAGAGATCTACTTTTTACTTAAAAGTGATTTTTCCGTAACTATATAAAACATTACTACATTTTGTTTGACCAGTTTAACCACATCTGCTGATCATCTTGTGTCGTAGTGTTTAAGGATAGGAAAACAAAATAACCGAACACAAACTTCTCTCTTTGGTCCTCTCACTCTCACTCTCCCGGTGGCTTTTTGGCATCTATCTTTCCTCATGATCCTAACAGTGTCTTTAAATCGGAATGACATTTGCATGAAGCTGTATTTGATTTGCCAAGGCGCTTTCCCCTTATTTCTGTGGGATCAGCATAGAGCATACATTATATAAGTGATAAAGCTATTGATCGTGTGATGATGAATCAGGATAGAATGCTGACACTGGGCACTTGACAGCAACAAATGCAGCTCAGTGTTCACTCAACCATTATACTTTGTCATAAGAGATCAGAGGAAGAATAGTTAGTTAGAGAGTGCATCACACCCTCTTAAATTAAAAGCTTGCATATGTGATGTTAATGTGATTGGCTTGTGAGGGGAATGTAAAATAGCTCTATGACTGGATTGAGCGAAACAGATATGATGAGCCAGTTTAAACTAATACATTATGAAGTTAAACTGGTACGTGCGCTTCCGCTCTGAAACTTACAATTTATCAGGTGAGAAAGAAGTTTTTCCAGTGTACACAGCACTGCGCATAACTTGCACAACTTTTTGATACTTTCACTCTGTGTTTAAATGTGTGAGATCATTTCATATTACGTGATCGTGTTCATGTTGTGTTGTTTTGTAATCATTCCAGCGCATTTATGACATTTTCAGGCCCATTACCAGTAAGTGGTATCAGGTCAACAGAGGAAAAATGTTCTGAGAGCGTTGGCGTCATGGCACTTCAGGCAGCTACGACGTGAAGTTCATTTTATTCTCACACCCACTGTATGCAGAAGTAGATCAGTGGGTGTGCTCACAAAACAGAGAATTGTTAAATACAAAAATTTAAATGTTTCACTTTTGGGTTTTGATGTTAAAATTGGCACCATAATGTGAAAGATTAACCAGAACAGGAAAATCATTTCAACCGCACGAGTGAGGTGGTTTTGCCATAGTTTTACTTTTGAATGCAGATCAAAAATGTGAATGCAATAAGAATGTCTGGATTTTCAAGAATTTCACAAGTTTTCCAAATGATATGGATTGAGTTTCGTAAGCCACTTTCTTCCTACATTTTAGTACATATAAATAAACAGAAACAAAGATTTTTTATCATTTCTAAGTGAATAGTATTTTAGTGTTGTGTGTGTTTAAGTGCACGAGTGAATGCAGTAGCTGATAAGAGAATAGTCCTTGAAAGGCGGCTGCAGGTGTTGCTGATAATGAGCTGGTGTGGGGCTGCAGAGGTAATTTTATAGCTCTGTAAATAGAGCCAAACCATGAGCCTGAGACTTACTAATTCAGACGCATCTCTCACACCGCCACTGCTTTAAGGAGCAAACTGCAGGAAAAGATGTAGTAAAACTAGAGTGCTTAATTTTGACAGCTAAAACTCTTATTTCCAACTTCATTTGATTTTTTTTTTTACTTTTCTTTTCTATTTAATTTATGTCCAATTGGACATTTTCATATTGGTCTTTTTATGTATCATGTATGATTTAGTGACATCTAGTGGGAAATCATCAGATCACTATAAATTCATGTATTCTTTATTGAACCAGGTAGGTTGAATTGTCATTTGTAGTGCTGACTTGTAGTGCTGATCTGGTGACTGTGGTATGTGTTTTATATCTGCTCCTGCTCCTTTAGGTCATCCAGAAAATTCCTGCACCTGTGATCCAAGTCACCTCCTCTGCACACTGGATTCTGAGGTAAATACTACTGTTTATTCTCAGAAGTCATAGTACAGAACATGTTTGTGTGTAGAGCATCTTATATACACACATCTGTTAATACACACATGAAACAGCTATGAATATGAACACTTTAAAATGCTCTGTCATCACAATGTTTCAAATTCTGTATCGGAAGCAATAAGAGGCGGCACGAAGTAGGCCATACCACATTTTCACTGTCTATAGATCTAAATGCTAATTGTCTTAAGTCCTTTATCGCAAAAAGAGAGCAACATTTTCAGGGTAGAATTTTCAGTTAGTTTGCTTTTTTTCTTTACAAAAGATGAAAAAGTAGACACTTTTTTCTAGTCTCAAAAACGTTTTTGACCTTCACAAAAAGTAAAATTTAATTTAATGGTCAAGCATGCAGTGTAAAATATCTGTAGATAAAATTAAAAACAATTGTGGAGTCAATAGTTTAGAAACTATTGTACAGTAAAAGTTTAACCTAAAATTAGGATTTGATTTTTAAATTTTTTTTTCAGTGAAATAGCATTATGTTCCACTTCACTTTGGCCCTTTGCCTCTTGCCTCCAGTTGCCTCCATTCTGGAGGGTAGAATGTCTTTGTTTACAAACTTTTAAAGGCTCTATTAAAGGGACATTGACAATGCAGAAGTCACCTCACACCACAGCACATGTCGCTTAACTGTCCATAATGAAGTCATAAAGTGTGACACAGCTTGTGGGTTTATGTGCATTTCTCTCTTATTTCTCTTCCACGCAGTGGAAGTGCACCTTATTTACAGGAAAATATATGATGTGTTTTTGACCAGTATTAAAATATCCATGATTCACTACAGAGGGCGTAGTATCTTCTGTGAAATGTAACTTTTTTACACCTAAATTTTTACATACTTAACATATGAGTTGCTGAGTAAATTTCAACATTTTTTTCTCTGACTACAGAATATTTAGTCGAGGGCATTTCCCTTTAACAGTATATTAAGAGGGCAGGAGCAAAATGGTGTGTGATGTACATAACAGATTCATTTTATATTTATGTAACTAACTAACTAAACTCTGGAAACTCAATTGTTTTAATCACAATTGCAATGCTATAACACTGATAGTTTCCCACATCAGTCAGGTAGAGCTTCTGCCTGCATGGGTGCATTTGTATCCAGTGTTATTTACCTGATTGTGTCTAAGTGGCGCATATAGGATCAGTATCTGGCTATGCTCCAGGTACACTTAACTTGAGGAGGGGCGCAGGACAAGAGGCCTCAGGGATGACAAGGACAAATCTTCTTTAGATGAAGTGTTTTAAGTGCTTTGATTCCCCTCTCGTGTCGTCACCGTGAATTAGATGCCCTCTCTTCACTGCTCAGGGCTCTGGAATATAAACAACCACTAAGAACACATGAATGAAAGTGGAAAACCATGAGGGGTCTGTCTTGGTCTCGTAAATCTCCTCCACTGTATAGATACATTGATGTTGCACACTGACAAGACAGTGTGAGTGGTATCATAGAACCATGGGTTATAGCTTCAGTTTTTGCAACAGCGAGGGTACCGTCTTTGTTTTATGCAAATCCACGAATATGAAGGGAGGGGGAGGGGCAGGTGAGGCCAATAAGCAGTCTGGCCACGTAGCTCCAGGAAGACAGGCTGAGTGATGGAGACTGAGCGCCAGGTCCCAGCGTCCTTGCCTGGGGAAAGAGTGTCCGGACTAGGCCTGGGCTGTCTCCACACCTCCGTGCTCTGGCTCTGTGACTCTAGCTTCATCAAATCATGTGTAATACTGATTCTAGATGAAAATTTAGGGCCTGTAATAGTTATTTGGAATTTATAAACAATGCAAACTGTCCCAAGCAAACTCTTATAGAAGACATACTGTCCTTTTGTCTGCTAAAGTCTATTACACCTTTGTTTTCAATTTTGTACAATTTCAATCTCAATATGAATGCAAAACGACCACTGACTTGTGTGTGTGTGTGTGTGTGTGTGTGTACGCCAGAGGAGGGAGGACAATAAACATGTTTAAAAGTGCTAATTATAAACTTTGTGTATTTTTGTATATTTACAACTTTATCAATGTTGTTTTTGGCTGGATAAAATGATGTTGAAGCAGTATTATTGTTAATCTATGAGGTTTAAGACAGTTTAAGAGTGAGTTAGCTGAGTAGTGGGTGTTAAGATGTCAGGTGCACCTCAGGGTCTGGCCCACAACAGAACAGTGCAGTTCAGGGCTCAGCAGGGAGATGAAGGACTCCAAATGTGCTGACAAAGATCAAGTGCCAGGTGTGGGAAAAAGGGCCTGAGAAAGAGTGTGTAAATATAGAGCCAGGAGGATGTTTATGAATACATGTCTATGATGCACAGTGCATCATACACAGTTTGATTGATTCTTTTTTTCTTTCTTTTTTTTTCTTATTGTATTTTTTGCTTTATTTAAAGGGATGAACAGATGTCAGACTTGGACATGTGAAGACATATAATTACATAATTCTAACTTTATTTAATTGTGGAAAAAGAAATCAACTTAAGCACAACAATTTTATCTGGGTTATGTTAAAGTGACTCAAGAATTTCAAGTTACATTTCTAAGCATTTGTTTTGAAAAGCTGAAGGTGTTTAGCAAAGTGTTTTTATTTGTAAAAAAAAAAAAGCAGGCAATGTATTCATTTATAGTTATGGCATGAAATAAATCCTTTAATCCTGATCATAATAATACATTAGATATGTCGGCATAATTTATGGTGTGTCAAATAAAGTCCTAAATGGATAACTCTACTTAAAAACAACATAATTATCCTCCAGGTCCTACCACTCACTGTAGATCACACATTGAGAGGCAGGAAGGGCACCGGGGGCGAAAAGCGTAGGTTCAATACATGCTGAAGCAGTATCACTTTTGTTATCTCGTCACAAGGTTTTCTGTTTAGACAGCTTTGTCTTTATTTGGTGCCATTTTGACAGAGTCGGATGCTCTCTGCCCATCTTGTTCTATTTTTGATGTTGGTGGCAGTCAGAGAGGGCAGATGGAACAGATCCACTGACCTGTCGTGTGGAGGGGAAATGGATGGGACAAGGGAGAGGTGAAGAGGGCACTGAGAAGCAGAGCATGGGTATAAAAACAACCCCACACTCCATATAGGTCAAAAGTCAAAGGATGATTTATTCAGAGGTGCGTGTTAAGCCCCTCCCTCTCACCCTGCTCCAAGCTGTGTGTGTGCTCCATCTGCCTCTCAGAAAGGACTAAGAAACTAGAGACTGCTTCGAGGAGGACACTATATTTAGCCCAGGGGACCAAAGACACCATGGGCTAAGTTTAAAGTTAAAAATATATATAGGCATGTATGTACAGTGAAAGAGGCTGCTCTCGTAACCAACAACCTTATTCCTAAATTAATAAAGCATGCATACTCTTCCCACTAACTAAGAAAAGAATTCACCTCCTAACTTAGTTTAATTAACTGGGCAATAGTATAGATAATATTCAGAAGCGCTAGTTGTGGAAACCCTCAGTGTAAAATTGATTCATTGCACACACACAACTACAGACAGTAAAAGTTAAGCAAGAGAAGGTTATAGGTTAATACTAAATACTGATGTTTTTCAAATGTCAGATAAAAGTAAATTATTCTTTGTGGCATTATTATGTGTGAATTTTATGGAAAACATAACTTCAAAACAAAGTTTTGTATAAATTAGTAGAATAAATACTTTCATCATAATTCATGTAAAGTACATCAGGAAAGCCGTTCACAAGCCAGTGAAATATTTGATCAGGTGCCAAGCCCCAATAAACAGAAATTGGTGCGTCAGAGGGGTATTCTGCCTAAAATAATACAATGGGGAAATAATGTAATTATTCTAAACAACAAAACTGGCTGAATTTGTAGAAAAATAGGATATTAGTTTCCAGAGTGAAACTGTGAAGTAGTACCACACTTAGTGTCTGGGCAGAGCTCCACTTTGCTAATTATTTTCCTATGGCAGGACTCTCAGCATGGTGCCCTCTCTCACTAAGAGCAGAGGCTCAGCGGCAAGTGCTTAGTCAGCCGCGTTCTGGTGAGATACTGTTGTCCAATCTTCAGTCGAGTGTCACGTGGCAAACCTGATGAAGACATTGTCAGGAGGCAGGGGACAGGACCTATAAAACATGCATAATCTAGATATAGCAAGCAGTGGATGCAAGCAGGGATCAGTGTAAATGCAATTCTTTGTTTTTTTTACTTGTAGAATGACTTGAATTCAAATATTCAAACACGCTCACGCACACAGCCTGCACTCCCTATAGCCTGTATACATGCACCTGCTCCCTCTGCTCCTTCTCTGGACGTCCCATCTTCTCCTTACCCCTGTACACTCCTCCTCTGCCTCTGCTCGGCTATTCTCCCCCTCGTTAGCTTGATGAATGGCTTCACTGCAGGGAAAGTGCTGATTTTCATGCCTCTGTCTGATTTCTGCTGGCTGTTATTAATTTCAAACACTCAGAGAAAAGCAAGTGAGTCAATAAATAAGGAAATGAACACACTTCATCCTGCCACACAGTGCCTCTCACCGCAGTTAGTCAGAAACCGTTTAGTTTCGGTGTTAAAGGCCAGAAAATAAAAGTAAGATTTAGCCACATGTATTGGTTTGAAACCACTGGTGCCCTTTTCTTTCATTTGCCTTTCCTTCTGAACATCCTATGAAGAGGAATAGATTACACACTACAGAAATCAAACAGAATAAAAAGCTGCAGTCTAACATATAGTTATAGTGAGATATTAAGTGGTGTTGTAAGTCTTGCATGAAGTGCAGATTATATCATGCAAGACTTAATGCATTCTATAATAACAGAAACAGAAAATACACACATGTACACAATGTATTCAGTCACATCCACCTGCACAGTTTAGTGTAATGTTTGCATTTAATCAAAAAGCATGTATTTCTTAAAAGTCACATTCTAGCGCTTATTCTGAGTGTCATTTTATACATGTCCAATTACTCAATGCATAATAATCATATACACATGTAAACATA